GATCGTAGTTGATCCGTGATCCGTACGGACCAAGCCCCACGGTTCGGCATGCATGTGATCCGCGGATTAATTGCAAAATTTTACCATAATAGAGTATAAGTTTATCATTTGTTCGTATTTACACAAGCAAGTGAATTTTAAACAATTCCAGAGAGAAAAGGCGAAAGGGAACTCAATTCGTTACTCGCGTGCTGCTCTCTACGCGCACACCCGCACACACATGAAGCGCGCGCACGCGTTTCAGATGGCGCGCGTACACCGAACTGAATCCTCTTCTGAATCCTCTGAACAGACACATACACATAAAATTATGACAAAATACCCATCTCGACAATCATTCAGGTAAACGCAGTCAGTTATGTCTCAAGTGAATGAAAACAGCTGAGAAAGAAATCGGATGTGATGTGTATCATTTTATCGGATCCGTTCATCAGGTCTTAAAGGGACAGTGGCTTATAAATACTGGTGCTGTCATTAATGATCATCAAACAACAAAACAGCTGTGATACAAATCTATATTTAATTTATACAGTGAACACTATGCAGTGTTATTTTCCCTAATTATTACATTTCTGTATTTGAATACTACCAAATATTTTATTTGTAACATATTCTGTTGTATTTATCTATGCTTGTAATTTGTGTATTTGTTCTTATTTCTGCTGGCTGTTCTCTTGTCTCTTTAATCATGTTTAAACTTTCTTAGTTAATCTAGTAGTATTTGCTGTGGTATCAAAGAAGTACTTCGCTTTAAGTAATAAATGGAAAGCAAGTTAAATTGAAATATGTGTCAAAATACGTGTGTCAAAAACCGTAATGTGATCCGAACCGTGAGATTTGTGATCCGTTGAACCACTAGTTCTTGCCCCGTCCATGCAATGAATGCACGTTATTGAATGAACGTTTTTTTTTAGAATATTAATTCAACTGCTCAGGATATTTCAGTGGTAGGCTATAGACTAGCGTACAATTATGCTCACCAAGGCTGCATTTATTTGATCAAAAATACAGTGAAAATAGCAAAATTGTGAAATATTACAATTTGAAATACAATGTAATTTATTTCTGTGATCAAAGCTGAATTTTCAGCATCATTACTCCAGTCTTCAGAAATCATTCTAATATGCTGATTTGCTGCTCGAGAAACATTTCTGATTATTATCAATGTTGAAAACAGTTGTGCTGCTTCATATTTTTGTGGGAACTGTGATACATTTTATTTTTCAGTATTATTTCATGAATAGAAAGTTCAAAAGAACAGCATTTATTTGAAACAGAAATCTTTGGTACCATTATAAATATCTTTAATGTCACTTTTTGATCAATGTATTGCTGATTTATTATTACTTACTTTCATTTAGTTTAAAGGGGTCAACGGATGCAAAATTCACTTTTACATGTTGTTTGAATTGAAATGTGTGTACACAGCCACTCTATAATGATAAGAATCCACCCAGTGCTTTTTTTAAAATCTCGATAAATCCAAACCCCCAAAGAATGGCTCCTAAGCGATTGAGGTGTTCTGTTGTTGGATGTAATAATGAACAGAGCAGTCATCATTTACTCCCGACATCTGAGCCGCTGAACTCGCAGTGGATTATGTTTTGTTTCTGAAGGGAATGCGCCCCCAATCTACATAAATGCATCTATGTTCGCGCGAATCATTCGTGATCCAGCCTCATCTACAGAAGAAGTGAGTATCTTTGCAAATCGCTTTTCCTAATAACGTGCTAGTTAGCAAGTTTCACGATGAATGCGGCTGAAATTTCATCTCTCAGAAAGCGGCTCGGAAGCGAGGGGCGGGGTCTAGCAGAGCTCATTTGCATTTAAAGCGACACGCACTAAAACGGCTTGCTGTAAACAGAGCTGTTTTTGACAGGGTAAAAAGTGTGTTGTTTTACACTACCATTGAGAAATTTTAACCAAACTATGTTACAGACTTTTCATTAAGACCCTAAAGAATCATATCAACTTGTGGAAAATGGGCATCCGATGACCCCTTTTAGCTGAAGTACTAAAATAACGGAAACCAAATAAACAAAAAACTAAAACTTTTTAAAAACAATAATAAAAATGTCAAAAACACAACAAAATTACTAAAACATTTACAAAAATTAAAAGAAAACTAGAAAATATAAAAATTCACAAAAACTATGCGCCACAAACAGGCTGTGGTTACCTGGACAGGCACAGGTGAAGTGGCGTAGATGAACGTTCCTCTGGGAAGACCTCAGCCTGCGCTCGGATCGGCCAGAAAGGTCACGGAGGTCAAGTGTGAGGAGAACATGCAGGCGCGCACCGGAGGGAAGACGCGCGACGGGCACCACGTGATTTCCTTAGGCTGCGGAGAGAGGAAGACGTTAATATCATTAACTCCGGTCTGATTATGTGTTCAGCCAATCAGAAGGCTTTATGTCTGCCAGTCGTTTTGTGTGTGTACTGAGCAGCCCATATAAGGCAAGCGGCAACAACAAGTGGCTCGCATTAACGATGCTCATCTCACCTGTCGTTGATCGGTTTGCACTGGAGGAGGTGGAGGACGAGCGCAGTCTCGATACAGCATCCGAACCCGCTCACACTGAGCCTCAACCATCACTAAACGCTCTCCTGCAAACACACACACACCACCAGTCATGCCGATAAATGCTGTTACACTACAGGAAGACATCACATGGCTTCAGAAGACCTGGAATATACATGGCTCATTGTATGGAAAAAAAAAAAAAAACTCATGTCATGAAACATTAAAATACATGAGGGTGATTTAAACTTGCACACATTAAAAAGTTCATAAAGACATTGTAAAAGTAATCAAAATGACGCAGTTTAAGCTTTTACAAAAAAAAAAGGAAATGTTATTGTCAGTGTTATTTTAGAATTACTTGTATACTGTTACAGTCTGTATTAATATTTTGATTATTAGCTTTTAATGTTTTATATTTTCAGTTTTAATAATTCTGCTGTTTTTCCATTTAGTTTTCATAAATTTGGCTTTATATTTATTTCAGTTTTAGTTGCAGTAATTGTAGTACTTTTAGAACTTGTAAGTTTTTCATCTAATGTTTATATTGTATTTGATTTTAGCTTTATTTTATTAACAAAACCAATTTGAATTACTTAACAAAAATAACAACACTGCTATAACACTGCTACTGAAGAGACATGATCACTTCAGATGATAAACGTATTTAATTTAATTTAATCCAGGGTCAAAATTGTAATAAAATGATTATGAAAACGATAATATTTTTAATTTATTATTAAAATAACCACTATTATGGTTATATAATTAAAATTATATTTTATATAAATTATATAAACTGTATTAAAAAAATAAATTTAGATGGAATATTATTTTATATATGTGACACCGGAGCACAAAACCAGTTATAAGGGTACATTTTTTGAAATTGAGATTTGTACATCATCCGAAAGCTGAATAAATAAGCTTTGATGTATGTTTTGTTATGATAGAACAATATTTGGCAGAGATGCAACTATTTGAAAATCTGGAATCTGAGGGTGCAAAAAAATCAAAATATTGAGAAAATCGCCTTTAAAGTTGTTCAAATTAAGTTCTTAGCAATGCATATTACTAATCAAAAATTAAGTTTTGATATATTTACGGTAGGAAATTTACTAAATATCTTCATGGAACATGATCTTTACTTAATATCCTAATGATTTTTGGCATAAAAGAAAAATGGATAATTTTGACCCATACAATGTATTTTTGGCTATTGCTACAAATATACCCCAGCGACTTAAGACTGCTTTTGTGCTCCAGGGTCACATATTACTTTCTTTTATTTTACGGTTACTGTTTTTGGATGTACCATTGCATTGCATTGCTGCTGCATTCAGGTGTGAGCTCTCACCAGGACTGCACTCCTGAGCGATCAGGTTGAGCACCTCCACCGCTGCGGGACACTGCTGAATAAACTCCTCACAGAACGAGCTGTCCTCCAGCAGCTGCGCCATCACCAAACACGCCCTGACGGAGTCAAGCACGCAGAATAAACACCCCAGATCCCGAACACTACTGTACGATAGGGGTGTAATGCTACACGGCTCTTTCGCTTCGGTACGCATGTGTACTACTGAACAAATCAGTCCATTTTCTCAGGAAATTCAGACAATAAATGCTGTTTTGGTGCTCTTTGATGAGGCGTGACAGATCGCTGCATAAGCGCCTCAGTTCTGACGATCATCTCTTCCTCTTTACTACTAGTTTTAACGTGAAATAAACATGAATGAACATCTCACCCCTCACGTAATCGCTCAATCGGTGTTTCAACCGTGGAAAGACGTCATTAAAACGGCTTATAAACAAATGTCACGTGGCATTTAATTTACCTCAGGCAAGCCATCAGTGTCTATACAGCTCGTTATGTGCTAGAGAAGTCTGGAGAACTATATACTCATTATATTTTACTTTACCTGTTAGTGACGTCTTCATTATTTAATGCACGTTTAAATAAATCTGTTATGAAAGCCACTCTGTAAATTATTATATTTCAACAACAAACAGAAATTGTATAATTTAGAAGCTAATTTTAAAACAGTTTACATGTTTGCATTCAAGTTTCTAATTTGAGCGTCGATTATTAAAGTTAAAAATAAATAGTAATTGAATTGAAGTTAAGTTTGGGCTGTGTTGTTAACTGTAACCTTATAGTGATATATAGTTTAGAGCAGAAGCTGAGGGAGATTTTTATCACTAAGAAAATTTTAATTCCAATTGAATTCATGTAAAGGGTCACGAAACCCCAGATTTTAGCAGAGGTTTTTGTGTTGCACATCATAGAAGACCATGTTAGCATCCGTTGATTTTAATTGTTGGAGAAAACTGGTTCATTTTAAGCTTTTTTACACTATTTTCATCTTCCGGGTGTAAAATCTACATCGTGTTGACGTCACAATTTGTGGACTATAGTACATCGATGACGCGTCGGTGTCTATTAAATTATTCATCAGGCTGCGTGTTCTTATCCTATGAGAAGACGCTTCGCTTAATTATTCACAACAGCATGTGTTGATTATATATATATATATATATATATATATATACACACACACACACAC